AAAGTTTCGTCTGCTACTGCGGTAGACATCATTAGTGGCATATGCGTTGACTACAAGGCATGTAGTCTTCGCAATGACTGACCGTATACCACTGAAGATATCTGCCACAATAACACACGAAACGTTTGATACTGCAAGTTCCATTCGACCACGACCTACTAGCGCACATTTTGTTCTCTCTCAACAGATTAAATCTGTTCGTTAGCATCGATAAACCAGAAGTAGAGTAGTGGGTTTATGCATGAGGAATAATATAAAATTTTACTTTTTATTCAGTAAATGCATAAATGTAATCTCCATCTCCATTGCAGATATATTTTCGAATATATTATTAAATTTTAGCAGCCTAATTAATATACTAACGTCATATCCTACAGTTACCCAATATTTCAATTCTTTTACTAATTTTTTTTTTTTTAATAATTGATGAGCCATCATGAATCACGAACATTTCAAATTTCTTATTTATCAAGTGATAACCACGTTGAATTTTTGTTGAATGCATATATGCAGCAATCGCATATCTTATCATGAGTGATTTAAGTTGATTATTTCACAATCAATTTCAAGGATATTAAAAAGAGTGTCCCATACACATACAGAGCTCTAAATAGCATAAATACTAAAAGTTTTTTACGCGACTCCGTAATTCTATTCTACAAAAACTGATTTTGAGCTGGTCCTTCTTTAGTTATTACATTTTCAAAGCTACATATTCAACATAAAACTTTTAGAATTGAACAAGATACGAATGAATAACATGGTGGCATATAATATTTTATAAGCCTCAAAAATCATCACATTTTAAGAACTCAACAAACAAAATGTTCACCGAACAAGTGTTCACCGAAAATTTCGATCATTACAAACAAGGTGGCATAAATTAAGATTATCATTGTTTCTACTAGTAGATAAATAAAAGTTGAGGTTTTTGTACCAATTATTTTGTTGTTTATTGCAATTTATGATGGAGTGGAGTCAATGCCTAAGTGGGATTCAGAACATATCAGTGGAAACTACTCAAAATTCCTTGAATAACTTCAAATGAAATTCACAAAGAACATAATATCCTTGTCTTTCATGAAATCATAGAATAAAAAAACACTAAAATTGTTTTTCATGAGTTCAAACAGCAGCAGCATATTTCAGAGAGGTGCATATGACATGCCCAAGTTCATGTGGTACGTGTGCCCAGGTACGTATGGCATTTGGTCGAGACTACCACCGATAGACCGGTTTCGGGATACTTGCACCTCGTCAGTACCGGACATGTCATTTCAGACGGAGTGAAAACGTCAGAGTATTCCGGAAAACAAAATTAATTTCAACTAGTCATAAGCTCTTTCTGCAGTTGATTCAGTGCGCAACCTGCATAGATTGCACAGATGCCTGATGATTTTAATTCAGCTTCCTGCGCGGCATCAGCTGGGTTAGTTGTTTTTTTTTTCGGTTGGGTAAGTATCTTCAAGTTCGTAGGTCCACATGAGACAAAAAGTAAGGTGTTTTTATCCTTAACTTGGGCATGATACTGATTCGAGTTTAATTTAAAAAAATTCAAGTTCATAACTTTCCCCCACCAGAGAACATAAAACTCATAAAACAAGTCAATAAGGGAAACCGCATGGACATTTGGGAAAACTTAAACATCCATAAATGTAACAGTCAAAAATCACTTATCAAGGAACAAGTACAAGTATATGTATTTTAATTTGAATTTTAATACTAAGGAAATAACGTTTCATTTACAATGAATAAATTGATTGATTGATTGATTGATTGAATCAAAACACAACAGGACCTAACATTCAGTATATTAAACAAATCAATATACACTCCTAGAAGCAATGAACCTGGAGAAGATTTAACACTAAGAATAGTTCCTGATGTAATCCGAATACAGACAAATTTACCTAAAGCAACAGAAGTGCCTGTATTGAGGCGTTCGGGCCGTATGAAAAGACATACAACAGACAAAAACAGGATACTAACGTATCACACACTCAAACTTGTTTTCAATTATTTTATCTGCAACTCCCATGTTATCTATTATTCGACACAAAATTCACGATGATGATAAATTATGATGGTGAAAATTTTGTTTTCAAACCAGTAAGAACAGATCCATTTCAGAAGTGCATAGAAGCCAGCTACCACTGCGTTCAAATATACATTACTGGAAATTTGTATGTTGAAATATAAATAAATGAAAAAAAAATTAAATCATATATCGAAATAATATATTCGAAAGGACCTTTACATGCTTTATTATCACAACGAAATGATCATAATCAACATTCTTTGATACAACATATTTGAATTTCGATAGAAAATGTATAACTTCTCCAGTTCATATTTCACTTCTATATTTCAGGAAAACTGAAGATGATGTTCCCAACTCTGGTAGCATGTAGTTTCGGTCTTGAAGATGTCCTCAGTGAATATTCGGTCATTCAAGATGCAGTGGACATCAAAGAAGTATGTTCTAGATACGCAACAGACGCGATTGGTTCAGTTGCTTTTGGAATTGACTGCAACAGTCTGAAGAACCCAGACTCGGAGTTCAGGCAGTGGGGAAAACAGATGTTCAAAGGGGGCATAAAAGGAATAATCAAGGCAATCACGTTAATGACGCTTTCCAATAGCTTTTTGAATGCAATAAATTTCAAAATTACTTCCAAATCAACAGAAGATTTCGTGACAAATATGGTTAGAGAAACGATGGAGTACAGGGAAAAAAATAATGTATATCGAAAAGACTTTATGCATTTATTACTACAGTTGAAAAACAGGGGTGAAGTCACCGAAGATGCAAGTATTATTAAAGAAGGGTCAAAGAGCAAAGGTTCAGATACTTTATCCTTCAACGAAATAGCAGCAGAATGCCTCGTCTTCTTTGTCGCTGGGTATGAATCGTCTGCCACAAATATGACTTTCACTCTGCTTGAGCTTGCCCTCAACCAGGATATACAGGACAACTTAAGAGAAGAAATCAACACGGTTCTGAAGAAACATGACATGCAATTTACGTATGATTCCATCATGGAAATGAAATACTTGGAAAAAGTTGTTGATGGTCAGTATGTTTTAGTTTGGTAAACTAAGTTTCTTTTCAACTGTTTCAATTATTTGTTGAATGTTAGGCCAACATTGTTGAATGTGATAATGGAACATATCTATTCGATTATCGTGGATGCGGCGAACAAAATGTTTTGAAGAGTAAAATAACAAAGCTTGTTATCATTTATAATTTAAAATTTCCAGAAATAAAAATTTGTGAAAAATTGACTGATGGATATGTTCATATTTTTAACACGCAATTTTCACTAAAGCAATTCATCTGTTCCTATCCTTCAATTGGATTCATTTGACAAAGAATAATGCTACTAGGATAATAGCTTTGTCTTCATTTACCTTTGTTTCACTTTTTTCTCAAGGAATATCGTAAACTAGACTTCAAAAATTTGAAGTCATGATATGATTGAAGAATTTTTTGGCCAATACGACTCTGAACTTCTCACCAACTATCGCTTGATGACTTACTTCATTATTGCCTAAATTGTATTATCACACATCTGTTTTTAGAGTCTCTTCGCAAACATTCTGCTGGTACGATCATCACCAGAATTTGCAATAAACCGTATACCATTCCTGGAACCAAAGTAGTAATAGAAAAAGGAACTGCAGTACATGTTCCCGTTTCAGGGATCCATCATGATCCAGAATACTATCCCGATCCAGATAAGTTTGACCCAGAAAGATTCAATAAAGAAAACAAAGCAGCAAGACATCCCTTTGCTTATATGCCTTTCGGGGAAGGACCTAGAATGTGCATAGGTTAGTACTCGAAGTGACTAATCAAAAGTATTTTTGAATTTATTCGTGAATGTCAATTTGAAATATGTTCTAGACTAGTCTGAAAGATATTTCATTGAAATTATTTCACAAAGATAACTAAGTTACTCCCAAACGTCGTTTATTTTTTTTCTGTAATCATTACTGACATTTCGGTAGTACGTTCGTCATTAATTCAGTGATGCACTCATTTCGTCCAAGTCGACGAAGTTCAATTTTGTTGAATCTTTGAATCCTTTCTTTATCATGTAATTTTTATTGAATTTTTCAGGAGCCAGATATGGACTTTTGCAAAGTAAAGTTGGAATTAGTGCTATTATCAAAAATTTCAAAGTTACTTTGAACGATAAAACCAGAACTCCAATAAGGTATGCCAAAACCGGTATAATACCACGAATTGAGGGAGGAGTTTGGCTCAACGTAACCAAAATTCAGTAAAGTCTATAAAAATTGAAATAAAATTGGTTACCTTACTGGTGAGAAGTTCCATGGACCTATTCAGAAGAAACTATTTTATGTGAATTATTAAATCATAAAGTTTCTTATTTTGAAATCGTATTTTTTTTACCGAAACCAAACTGGTATCAGCGGCAAACATATTTGTAGCTTCAATTTTGTTCTTCTCTACAGTTACAACGCTCATATAACGACCAGTCACTCATACCACTTTTTAAAAGGGGACTAATGTGTACTTTCTCAATATTCTCCTCCTTTCTCATCCTTTCTGAATATTGACTGTTTCATATTTATTTGTTCATAATTATATTACGATTTCATGCGTTATCTACCATCACCATGAAACTGGTGAAGATTATTTCAAAATCAAAATGATTCTGACTGACTGAACAAAATGAATATTTTGATTAGAAAGTGGAAATATATTCTCTTCTCTCAACGTTTCTTTCTGCATAGTATAACTACTGCTTCGATAGACATTGACTTATGTCTGATAATGAAAGTAGAAACCAAGGAATTGTGCATGAAATTTTCACTAAAAAATCACTCAATTCCAAATGGTTCACAATTTTCCTGTATACAGGGCTTTGGCCGTTTCTGGCAAACTATTCAACGGATCAATCTGAAAATTCCACAGTATGCATAAGTCAATATGACCTACACGCCTAAAATATTTCAGACGAAGCGTGCAGCTGAAAAAGCAGATGCACCACTGGAACTCCAGTATTATTCATCACTTTACCAAAGGTTCCAAACATTGCATCAGAAGTGCATGTAACACGACTAATGACGCTTCGATTCATTCTACAAGAAGTTTACCGAACTTCAGTCGTCGTTTCTACTTTCATGTGTGCGACACATACTTGTGCAAGATTCCTCTCAGAGTATGACAGGCATTGGACATATTCTACTAAGTGGGAATGTTGGTTGAGGTGGAAATTTTGATCAATTCATTTTCTCAAATCTTTTCTTCCAAAGCTTGATATGTTTAGTAGCTTATATAAAATAAATGGCTGATTTTATGTTTCCGATGATATAATGGCATAGGAATGAAAAAGATGATTTCAAAGCACTCGTAAGGCTAGTCTATTTCGGTGGATATACAGTGTATGTCACATCTGGCTTCTATTACATATCAGTGCATTCGGTTTCTATGAAATATTTTTCAATATACAAGGTATCTAGTAGGAGTGAGACGTATTGATGTTAGGGTTTCTTAAATGGAATGAGATATATTGCTTTCCATATTCTATTTCCGTCAGAAAAATACTTTCGAAATATATCGTATTGGATGGGTATATACCAAGTAGCTCAGAAGTTATGCCAAATATAACGACAGAAAGTTAATCTGTTCAATAATCACTATATTCGATCAAAACTCATTTGAAGAATCCGTGAAGGGGCTAAAAAAATCTATGGAAATCTATTTCGATATTAAACAACTGTCGCTCCCCTACGAACAACAACCCTCAAAACTAAAAACTTGCGCAAGATAAGGATTAACAAAGATCTTACTTTTAAACGTGCATGGTATTCAGTAGAATCTCAGATGCTTTTTGCTACCCTTTCTTTCTTTCTCTTTTTGTTAAGTATTCTTAAGTTATTCTCTAGTTTATGCTATCGCATGTTAGGATTGCTAATGAGCACTTTTTGTGTGAATCTTCGACGAAATATAATTGTGAGTATGGAAAATATATAATTAGGTTAACCACCTGTATGTTTTCTGCCCTCTAAATGAATGAATGAATAAATAATGAACACTTGATATATCCAATGCTTTCTGCAATCATGTTCTCCTAATACTTTCACTACTCCCAGTCGTTCTTTTTCGCGATGAAAGGATTCCATTAAACTAACTGTACCAATTGCAAGGAAGGATTTTATATCATGTATTTTCAAATCGTCACTTTGTAGGTATAGTGTCAACAAAAGCATATTATCTTTCCCGAACTTGCTAATGGGCGTGATCTAATTATTTTAGAATCTCACATACACCCTCGATGCAATTTGTCCAATGAAAATCAGCTCTTTTCAGTATTCTCAAGGGGTCGGTCGGTTCGACGTGGGTGCTTGGCTCACTCACTCAAGCTCAATCGTTCAAGCCCCAGGCTGAACAATTGATTTTCACTTGCTATCGTCCAACCCGTGTTAGGAATCACACGTTTTAAGGTAAGACCTCGTTAGTACTCAGCTCTCGCACTCAGCTCGACTTCTGAGGGTTGTCGTTCGTAGGGATGCGACAGCTGGTTAATGGAAAAACAGATTTAAACAGTAAATGAATATCTTCCATTGCTGTGTGATCCGGTCCGTAATCTCACTTAAAGTTTGAAGGCATGTGAAATAACTTATGCACAAACAACAAATTATTTAGAAAGAACAAAACTAGAACAAAAACAAATAATGAAATATAAACAGATATGTAAATACTAAAGACCTGACCCAATTACAATCAATTATTTTATATCCACTACTACTCCTATACAGAGTGTCCCTGGACTTCCTCTTTTCCTCTCGGGAATGTATAGATGGGGTCAAAATATCACCAGTACTTCATATAACTTTTTTNTTTTTTAGAAAATTCGTCAGTTATTTATTTCCTACGGAAACTAATGATCTTTGGGATGAAAATTCTATAACTCACCTGAGTAGAGCACCTGAGCTCCCATAGTGTCGCAACTCAGTACTCATTTGCTTATTTTGAGAGGGTTTTTCGCTGTGTCACCCGACCCCCATTCATCCGTTCCATTTGAAAACTTAATTAAATATTCATTATATAAAAAAATTAAAATATTCTCAGGAGTGGAATAACTGAATAGTTGAGAGAAAGATACAAAGAATCACCAAAAACTTAATATACTTCTTACCAGCAGGATCGACAAAAAGAAGATGTGCTGCATTTCAAAAATGCTCTGAAACCGTTTCTGAAGAGTGATCAATGAATACTGAATGAATTTCTCAATAATCCTTTATGATCTTGACCTCTTTCAATATTCATAAAAAAACATATGCTGAGGTTGCAACTTTGCTTCTGCCACCGTACTAAGGCTAAATGCTTAATGCGCATCCGTGCAAGTTTGTGTAGGTATATGGAAATTGTTTCATATTTCTATATCCTGTAATTGCATCAATTTTGATGTCTATGAACTTGAAATATTAATATGTACATGGAATTGTGATTACAGAGTGAACTGAGTGCATTTGAAGTGTATATGGTGGGTATTCACTTCAAATGCAACCCAAAACTGAATATTAGTGAATTTTCAAAGATATAATGTTGCAACAGTAACGGTGTTTTTTACCTATCTTCTGTAAGGTTGGTTACGGATATTTATTTCCGCGAAACAGGCTTCAACTCAAGTAGGAAGTCCTAAAGTTTGACAAATTTCTAAGACGATTAATCCTAGAAACAAAGTAGAACTCTTTTGTAGCTTCAATTCATGAAAAATAAAATTTAAGTGAAAATCTGAATAAAATATTGGTTATGTATGTTTGATGTCATATTGATGAAGGATTCAAAGAATTTTATGAATAAAAATCATAATCATATAAAAAAATATCTGTGATACTGAAAACCACTGCAACAACTCTATGATAAATGCAATACTAGTAGCTTTAGGTAATGTTAAAGATGATGCTCATTCCACGGTTCTGTAGTTTCTGTAACTGATTATGATTTAGGAAGTAAAGTATCGAAAAGTAGTAATCGAAATGCGGTTGTATTATGGACTGGTATACTGGTTTCCACAGTCAAATCTTTACTTATTCTTGAAAAGGAGTAAAAAAAAATCGTTGAAATTTTTCTATGAATGTAAGTCTAGTGATCATTCAGTAGCAAAATATTAATCAGTTGGAATCCAAGATATTTCATGGTGATCACTATATTGATTTTTTCATTATTAATAGTGACACTGATTTGATTGATATTTATGTTATTAAAATTTGTACTTGGATGTTGATATCATTGCCTTAGTTTTACTTTAATGAAATAAACAGTGACCATATCAGCATTACGCTCTGGTTATATTTGTTGGGCAGATTCATTCACATTAAAAATAATAGTAATATTTGTTGCCCTTTATTGTCTATCCATCAATTCAGCAATCATGTTCTCCATTTCAAACGGCTGCGATAGTCCTGCTTGTGCTATATTATATCGTTTCAGCTTTACTTTGCAACCTTTTCTATCAGGGAAATTTCTTGAAGTCCACTATACAACTCTCGAAACTACATTTCATTTGATTTGTTTTCAATTTGATATTCATTATATCCTTTTTTATTTCTCCAATTGTTTATTCCTTAACCTTAAATTTCTTGAGAGTAGCTAGAGCGCTTTTAAATGCTTCTTTGCAGTCAGGACAAAAGTACGTAACATCACTTCCAAAAGTATTGCTGTAGATGTTTTTCACAGCCTTGGGATTAAAGTGGAAAATATCTTTACAAGTGTCACACATTACACGGTCTTCATCATTTGACACATTTTCATCACACTTACTGTAAATGTTCATGACTGCCTTTGGAAGAGCAAAACCTTCATGCACTCAACACTCAACTATTCTGCACTGTTTCTTTACAAATTTCTCATCAATTTTGCTTCCATTGACAAAATTTCGGGTTTAATAGTTATTTGATCAGACTGACTTCATTTCCAAATAATTTGCAGAATATTTTATAAGGTCAGATAGGCATCAGTCCTGACTTCAACTTGATGTACCTTTCGCCATCCATTTCATGTCCATCAACCTCAAAACGACTTACTGAAATTTTCAATTCCCATTAGTCTCCATGTTTATGAGTATCATTCAACAATATCCCTCATAAAGTGGATATTACGTTAGTTCACGACGTTTCGATTGTGAGTATCTACAATCGTCTTCGGGTGCTAACTATTTAGCAACTTTCTTGTTCCAACTTTTGCTTTTACGAACATCTTCTTCTCCCAATAAAAATTGTAATTTATAATGCATGTTGGTTTCCGCCTAGTCTATGACTAAAGGCATATTCTTACGAGTTGACTTGACAGTTCCAGATGCTTTTGTTTCCATCTGATGTAAAACATCCGGTGAATTAGGGCTTGTATACCAATTAACAGTAAACAAGATATGCCCCTTTTCATATATAAGACCCAAGTACAGTCATCATAATACTTCCTGATTTGCTGGTGAAATCTTTGATATCACTAGTGGCCCGTGTATAAATTACAAAATCTAGGATGTACCCGATATCACAGTCCCACAGTAAAAAGAATTTCATGCCAAATCTGTGACATTTTGACGTAATATTTTGCCGAAAAGAAGCCCGTCAACGAAAAAGCAATAAACTCTCATTTATACAAAGTTCCCATTTGACACAAGTCCTTCCTTGAATAAATTTCGGATATTATCAAAAACTCTGATTTTGATAATTGAATCTTCTTCTATTAGAATGTTATCGTCATCTCAGGTATGCAACAGTTTCGTTAGAATCTAAAATCGATCTGTTTTCATGAGTCTTGAAAATATTAGTGCGCAAATGTTGGTAACTTTCGAACAATGAGTATTCAATTGTTATTTTTTTTTTGAATGCGGCATCAGTAGAACAGTTGCGAAGAAACAATACAGCTTTTTGAAATCAAAAGGTTTTCACTTTTTCAAACATAAAAATTTTGGAATATTTTTACTACATGAAAAAACAAAATATTTATTGGTCTAATCTGTAGTACCTTGATTTTTCAGCCAGAACTGGATTCATCAAATTCGTGAATAATTGGTGAAAAACCGTCTGATGATCAAACCATTGGCATCTGTTCAGGAAAAGACATGCCACCTTCATCTTCACTACTGACCTGTTGTTATATAATATTTGGTTGGTCCATGTCAAGCATACGCTGTGTGTTCTCCAGCATTTCATTATGCAGCATCCGATAATTCGGATCTGATAGCTCACATTCTTTATCATTGTCATAAATTTCAAACTTTCAGTTAGCATCTCTTCTAGTTTTCTTTATGTCAAATACATTCGTGATATGGTTGCAATATCTTAAGAAAAATATGGATAAATTGGCGAAAATGAACTCTGATAGGAGTAAAGCACAACTAAGTGTGTACATGTGTTTGTCTGTGCAGACTAATGCAAGGCGCACTGAGGCAGGTAACGGACAGGCACATGGTATGACAGAAACAGGACCTCACCCCCTCCCCCCATAAGAAACTGTCGAAAGAGAAACAAAACTTGACGTCATGTTCCCGTCTCGGCATGTTCACGTCCTGTCCTGTGCCGTCCTGTCGCAGTGTGTATGAAAGGTGAATTTATGGCCATATACCTTTCAAATAACATACGTCGAACTTACTGACTAGTATTTCCGGCTTCAGCATTCAGAACATATTTGATTTTGAAGGGCGAGCTATCTCAAGTGAAGCAGTTGACCCGTTGACGAGTATCCTCGTCTTGAGCAGTGAAAGGGTTAGGAACCTATTTGTTGAAAAAATCATTTATTTTATATGAAAACGACAATATGAACAAATTTTAAAATAATTTATGCAGGTAGTGAATCAATAACTTTTTTCAATGTGCAAGTCCATCACAAAAAAAATAATCTGTCTCTCTGTTCACAGGATTCACAATGGACATTTTCACAATAGCCTGTATTTTATCAGTTTTTGTACTAGCGATCTGGCTTTTCTCTAAATGGAGTTTTTCCTATTGGAAAAGAGTTGGTTTGGAATATCCGCAACCAGAATTCCTTTTCGGCAATACTAAAGGTTTTCTCACGAGAAAACTGTCCTTTGGTGACCAGATGAAGGTAATCTACGACGAATTAAAATCTCGGGGTCTCAAACACGGAGGTTTCTACATGTCTTTCAGACCATCATATTTGCCAATTGACTTGGATCTCATTAAAACTATTATGCAGAAGGATTTTAACCATTTCGTTAACCATGGCTTGTACTTCAACGAAAAATCCGATCCGCTGTCAGGACATCTCTTCAATTTAGAAGACGAGAAATGGAGAAATCTCAGAGCTAGGCTGACCCCAACATTCACGTCAGGTAGGAATAACCAAAACAGTATCTGAACTTAATGAGATAAAACGCATACTTATTATAATTGATTTTCGAGAAATAAGTTTTTCACAACTTTAATTAACTTTATAACGAGAAAGATGACCTTGTCATCTGCATCACTTGGAAAAAATTTACACAAAGCCAGACTATCCCTATGGATATGTCGAAGGATTTGTGGTAAAACTTGGGGTTTAGGTCTCAAACAAATCCATTGGATTTATGTAATGATTGTCAGACCAATGATCACTTATGGTACAATTGCCTGGTGGCCGAAGGCTTTACAGAAAACAACCCAGGCGAAGCTCTCTGGCTTACAGAGACAGGCTTGTCTGGCCATCAATGGTGCCATCAGTACCACACCGTCAGCGTGCATGGAGATCGTTCTAAATCTATCTCCTCTCCACATTTTTATGGAGAGAGAGGCTAGATGGACTGCACATAGACTTTTGCACATTGCCAATTGTACAAGGCAATTTAATACAGAATGCAACAGACTGTTGGTTGATACTGGGAGTCATGGCATTCTGGAAATGACCTCCGACTTCATGCCTCCAACTATCAATTACGAGCTGCCTTATGAAGTACTGTTCCCGAGTAGAGTGGTCTTGTTGGCTATGTATGTCAATATTTTTTCAATTCGAGAATAAAATGATCATTATTATGATCATTTGTAACAGATCTAAGTATATGTGCTGGCGGTATACTTCAATTTCTAACTAAGCAATTACACTGGTATTTTAAAAGAATATCCATATTTGATTGGCCGCTGAATTAAAAATAATAAATCTATTTTAGGTAAAATAAAAATGATGTTCCAAACGCTGGTATCATGTACCTCTGGTCTCGGAAACATCCTCACGGACCATTCCATTATTGGCGATGCCTGAAGCATGGCAGGTTCGGTGTCGGTTGTAAAATAAATCGTTGTTTATGGCGATGTAGCATGTGAGGCGTTGCCGGTTTCAAAATTAAGCTTGAAGGGTTAGGAATACAACTCGGTGAAAATATTGTGGAAATGAGATGATGACGATGATAACTAGAAATGGCTAACGCTTTTAGGTGCGTTCCAAAATGATAGATGGACACTAAGTCGTATATTCGTTAGCCAAGTTAGCATCATCAGGAGAATGAGGAGATGGCACTCGAAGGTGTCGAAGAGTTACGTGATGTGGAGTTGACGTTCAAAAATGGAACAATGGGGAAAGCGAAGTATTCGGCAATGATATTTCGACCGTTCTCCGTTCGTTGATTCGCTATTGTTTCATCATTGTCATTTTTTCGTTGTCGTTTTTGTTTCGTTTTTGTTAAGGGTATATTATCATTAAGCGGTGAGGTTAGGTGAAAAGAAGAAAAGAAACATTTAGAATATTTATTTCGAATTTTTAATTTGGTAACATATCACAAATCCATTTGTATAAAATATCTACGTTTTGGAGACTGCAATTGTTGTTGATTCGATTGAGAATGTGATGCATACAGGGTGAAACACATTCGTTGTTGTCGAATGTGGGAACCATCCATGTCGTATTGTCATAGCCCTCCAAATTCACAACGCGTGTAGGTACATCCAACTCGTGAAATTTTGCAGTTAGATAGTAATGTTTTTGATGTCGTCGCATATGAATGATATCGACATCTTGTGGATTTTACATGAGGATGGCATCCAATTGATTATACTACACAAAGCCAGAGGACTACCTTCATTCCGTGAATGTTTCCCTCCAAGTAACAGGCGGTACGGTGATCTTCTTTACTCAAACAGGAAAATGGTTGTTTGGCAGCAGTGAGAAATTGGTAGGTTGAATTCCAATCCTAATGGTTATTTCTTTAGGATGGAATTTTCGCTCGACGGTGAAGCCTTGAATATCTACAACAGCTATTCTCATGTTGACTCTGCGATTGATACTCTCGCAAAATCACATGTTCAGTTCTATTTTTTGATAATTTCGCGGAGCCATTTTTACAGAATTATCATTCACTAACGTTTCTCGGTTTGTTTTCAGAAACCCTTAGGAAGCATTCACCAGTTCCCGGAACACCAAGGGTCTGCAATAAGGCCTACAAAGTTCCCGGTACAGATATTGTTCTGGAAGTCGGAACGAGAGTACATATTCCGTTCCAAGCTATCCACTGGGATCCTGAATACTATCCAGAACCACAAAAATTCGATCCTGAGCGATTCAGCGAGGAAAATAAATCCAAACGACACCCATTCGCTTTTTTGCCTTTCGGAGAAGGTCCCAGAATATGCATAGGTAAGAATTTGTGTTCCCAACCTGTAAATTTTTATGTAGAAATATATCTGAAAAGTGGCTGATTCTTCAAAATATGATCTACATGTTCATCCAAATAATTCAAAAATAAATTTGCAGAACATGTTATTCCTGTCTTAGCATATTCAAAATGTAACGAATACATACTCAACTTCTGTCCCTAATGTAAGTGAAAGTAACCAAATATGTAGGTTTTTTGTTACTTGGAAGCCGCCTGGCTTGTCCACTTTTTACAAATCTTTCAAAAACGCTCCATCCTCGGAAACTTATTGCGTTTTTCTTCCTATGTTTTGTTCGATGTTTGTCATATTCTTATGCATATACGTTGGGTCGTCCATGAATTGATTGTCTTCATCTAGTGCCTCACGTTAGCAGATAATTTGTTTCTGTCCTCGTTGTATTGCCTACTGCTTGTTGAAGCAGTTTTTCAGATCTCTTTGTGAAGGTTCTTTCGTGTTCGATTCCAGGTGCATCTTCCCAATACTCCTTATGCTTTTTATTGACCCACTTTCTGATGATCAAATCGTGTATCAGACTTTTTGAGGAAACAAGAAGATGGAAAGACGTTTCAGTTGGCTGAACTTTGTTTCACAAAAATATACAAACTGAAAAGCCTACTTCTATTGAACACCTAAAAAATTAATTTTTCTACTGAATTCAAGTNCATTCTACCTCGATTATTACGAAAAATACCGGGGTGTTTCTATGGGAAGGGAAACACACTGTATGTGATGACAAATACATATTATTATATTGTCTCCTTGCATAGACCTATTTCGATAAAACTTATTGAGCCGGGACTCTCAACTATTTTATTCTTATTTTGTTATTGTTAATATTTTTTTTCAACCAGGCTTTCCAGAGATTTCGATATGATTTGAGATATTTGTTATTGTTATGCACTGTTTGGAACCGTTGGTATAGTAATGATTATTACTACTATTTTTAACACCTCGACACGTGTTTCAATCACTCGGTGATTGAAAAACGTTTCGAGGTGTTAAAAAATAACGGTTTGGTGTTGGGATAAAACTAACTCCAGTAATATTCATATTTGATTTTATTGCATCGTCGAGTAACGTTTACATAACTTCCTTTTTTATTTCAGGTGCAAGATTTGGACTTCTTCAAGTCAAAGTGGGTCTCACTGCCATTATTAGGAACTTCAAAGTTACTCTGAACGAAAAAACAAAAACCCCCATAAAATACGCTACCAACGTATTCATCACATCGGTAGATGGGGATGTGTGGCTGAATGTCGAAAAAATTCAATGAAAAATACTCAGAGATTCGAAAACAACATTTTATGAAGACATCAATAAAATCAGTGTTAATAACGATGTTTTTAAATTTTATTGTGCTGTGTGAAAGTGCTCCGCAATCATTTTATGTTCAGAATTCTTCAAGTCGCAGAAACCAATATTTCGCAAGACAGTACTAGCCTTCTATAAGAAGGCATACATACGCAGGCAGACAGGCACACAAAAGTGCTCGCGAGTGAGTGCGATCATGTATATACAGTTTTTCAGGAATCCATTTTCAATAATCAGCTGTGTAACTATTTTGTTCACTCTTAGAATCGCTCGAAATGCGAAATCGAATATGGCTTAGAACTAATGGTGTATTCAGGCTGAATGGCGCGGTATGAAACTATCTGCCATTTCCTGATTTTTCGGGGATGCTTGCAGACAAGTTTCAACGTGTGTACACTTATGCGTGTCAATTTCAGTCAGTTATTGTACTTACCATCGTGTGGAGAATATATTTATTAACGAATCTGTTTAAAATCTATTTTTCCGGTAACCAGCTGTCGCACCCCTACGAACAACAACCCTCAGAAGTCGAAACTTGTGCGAGCTAAGGATCAACGAGGTCTTGCCTTTTAACATGTGATTCCTAACACGGGTTGGACGATAGCAAGTGAAAATCGATCGTTTAGACTAGGGCCTGAACCACCGACCAACACGGCCGTCAATTCGAGTGAGTGAACAAAGCACCTACGTCGAACCACCTGGCTACCGACCGACCAATACACAATATAATAATATATTATATCCAATGAAAATTGAGAAATAAAACTTCCTGTTTTTTTTCTTTGGCTAGGATGGTGGTTCGATAGTGCGTGCAAGTATCTATCCGTATCTATCTGTAACTTAGCCACAAGGTCGGCTTCAATTCAAAAGTGTCTATCGCTTTTCCTTCAAACCGTTCCATGAAATAATTTGTTATCACCATTGAAAGTAACTTGCTGTGAGACATGCTCTAAAACTCTAAAGAGTTCGACGACGTCATTCGGGAACACGTGGGCTAACCCCCTCAGAATTTTCCAGTGGGACATTGGTGAACAAGGACACCACATCGAAGCTGACTAGAATACCCGTCGGCTCCAGCGTTAAGGAACGTAAAAAAACTATTGGATAAGCACGACATCGAAACAGTCTTCAAACCCACGAGGAAGATTCAACAAAGCCTTCTGGATTGTCTGCGTTGAAACCATTATGTCCTATCTCTATCTAGATTGTAAGCAGACAAAGGTATCGAGAATGCTATATGTAACATTGAATTGTAGGCTGCTATTTCATGACTGTCCCGATGGAAAGAATCACTTGGAACGTAATGTCTGTATAGCTCGCTTATAGCTCCTTGTAATGCAACCACAAACTCCAAAATTTGAACGATACGATATTTTTGAAATTGATAATTTGAATTCGTGAATTGAACTTTTGCTTTAATGTTTTCGAATTCTTCCACACACGTTTTATACCAGAAGATATTAACAACTAATTATCATCACATACACTCTGCAACATATGTAAGTATTTTTTATGAACAGATTCATTGAACATTTGATTCCGCAGTAAAGTTTTTTGTCATGTGTCCGAAAACCTTTGTTTGAAGTTTCTAAAAATGACAGAAAAAAAGTTGCTGTGTCTCTTTACTGTCAGTTAACTTTTTTTAAATATTTTCGCATCCTTACTCCACCGATTCGAATGAAACGATTCGAATTTTACAATTATGATTAATACAAAATTTCGATATCATATATTTTCCAGAGAATATACATATTGGTCTGTTATCAAAATAGAAAATGCACCCACACAAATTGGTCTTTGTTTTTGCAAAGTTTATCAAGTTTTCCATTTCATTGTGGAACTGATTCGGATTTTGAAAGTATGATTAATACAAAATTTCGATATCATATATTTTCCAAAGAATATACACATTGGTCTGTTATCAAAATAGAAAATGCACCCACACAAATTGGTCTTTGTTTTTGCAAAGTTTATCAAGTTTTTCATTTCATTGTGGAACTGATTCGGATTTTGAAAGTAAGAAAGTTGAAGTAAATGAAGAAAATGTCAATATTATTAGGAGAATGTCACAACGTTACTGTGGAATAGTAAACACCAACACAAACTGTCCAAAAATGATAAAGTCATAAGAATTTCGTTTGATTAGTTTTGTTCCATCATTTTGGAGGTATTTGGAAATTTTTAAATGAAGAAAATGTCAATATTATTAGGAGAATGTCACAACGTTACTGTGGAATAGTAATCATGGCCAGCTTACAAAATATCGAATGTGAATGCCATTCTGAAGGTACATTTTCACAAATAATTTCTCATAAGTCCGAAACCTGACTAGGTAGGTATACGCATTATATACATAGTAAGAAAGCAAATTTTAACAGCTTTCTGAATTTGAAAGAATCAATTTTCAGTCACTTTTTCAAAAAAAAAAAAAACTATTTTTCAACACCCTCTATTTGAAGTAACGGAGATTACGCTGAAATATGGGAAGCATCCAAATATCACCCAACTCCAAACCATAGTATTCCTTAACTCAAAGATATCTGCATTTTCAGAGGCCATGATTTCCGAAAAAAAAATTGAAATTGATTCATATTTCGAAAACAGTAACAGATGGGTGTAGAGAAATATTAATGAAAGTTGTCGGGTAATTGTTGTAGATTCCAAAAGTAATTATATAATTATATACAGGGTATTCCATTTGAAAAATCGAAGTTGCTACTAGTTTCTAATTGAAGACCGAATATGCTCTCTGTCCAATTTTGAAAGTGATCTGTTGTCTGGTTCACCAGAAACGTCTAATGTGCCATCCACCGCGAATCAGCCTGTATAAATAACCAATCAATAGCATGTATCAAGTTTTGAATGAAATATAATTTTTTCAGAGAGAGAAGACCGATAGAGTATAAAAAGTGACCAGCAAAATAAATGATAATTTAAATGTTGTACAGTGAGGTGGAACACATTGATCCTACAAGGTGGTTTATGATCTATCGACGAGACTGCTCATATAACTAAAATCACTCATCATTACAGGTAAATCGATTGATTGTTCAAATGATATGGTAACAAAACGAAAATAGCTTATTTTCACAAAATAAATATATGAATTGTATGTTTCCATACAGTTAGGTGTAAATAAGCACAGCAATACTACAAAGCTGAAAGAGGGCACGTGAGTCAAATTCCAAGTACAGAATTTGACACATATTTTGTAAGGAAGTCAGTTTTTATGTTGATAAGTGAGAACTTTCTGACAACATTGTCTCATATCAAAATTTTTTTCATAAAAAATTGTTTCGAGAATATATATTGAGACTTTGCATATCAGTAGGCATCTTCAATTATACACATCCCTCTCCCCACAAGTTTTTTATGACATCGATACCATAAAGGGACTCTAGCGACTGCAAATGTATTTAGAAAAATACCAACAATGTGTATCGTTTTATTCAAATACACATGAATTGAGGCAATGAGGCAGAAAATTGCGCATGCAGAAAATTTTTGTGACAGAAATTCAAACTGGCTTTCAAATTTCAATTGTTCTAGTACAGAGTTTTAAGCAATCAGTAAGTATTACATGCTGCCTATCGCAAGGTGATCGACCTAGAGTAAAACGGGATAAAAATTTATTGACAACAGCGTGTGCTCTGGAATTGGTATTAGGCGTCATCATTTTCGAATGTAGTCGTATTTAATTAGCTGTGCAACGAATAATGATAATTACAAAAGTTATGTAGTTAATCTTTCAAATAACAAGGAGCTATACAAAAGTTTTGTTTTCATCATTTGGGTGATTGTTAATTTTGATTGTAATGATAACATTTCCAAAATACAAATCATAAAATTATAAAATAACAACAAAAATTAATTGGCGCTCCGGGGCGACTTTATTGATTCCAGTGGCGCATTTGCTTTTTCAGTTGCAGGAAAATCCGTAAAAACCTGAAGCACCACATCATCTGAAGATCTTAATTTGCCAATGTCCTCTTTCTCATGAAAAAAATGTAGGGTGTCTCCAGAGGCTCCAATAAACTCAATGCATCGCCAAAACACTTCGTGACACGACTATCTTCAAACTTAAACCAATTCGTTTCGTCTTTGACTAAGGCGTAATAATGACCAAATTCAACGCCAGAACCACAGTGAACAATTACTGCATGAATATTATAATAGTGGTCTGCTAGATTGAAGTATTCATCTAACCTAACCTTCGTAAGAGTTTGGTGCTTCTGTCAGAGGTTGAGTCATGTTTGAAGATATTATTAGATTAACTGGTGCCTCAACTACATTTGTTTCCTTATAACAGTCAGTTAGTTCATCACCTGTTAAAAGTTCAAATGATTTAACAATAAGCTTTGCAAGGACTGTTTATTAGGAAACGCTAGTTGAAGTTCCAGAAATTCACATTCGTTTTTGCTACCTATTGAACATTTACTACAAAGTAAACAAGTGAGGATTTTTCCAGCAAAAGATTTACAAACACAAAGACAAGATAGACTGTGAGGAATCATTCAATCCAGAGCGGTCAGGAGTATTGATTCTGCTATTGTTTTGCTCACGAAGAATTTTCAAGAAGAACCCCAAACATTCGGAACAATCCTCTTGTTGTCCTAGTGAGTATCTAGTGGACTTAAAAGACTCCAGGAAATCGGTTGGAGGGAAATACGATATACTCTTACGAAACTGCAGCTGCATGAACAGGTGTTTGAGTTTGGTGAATAAATAGGAAACATTCTCGTTCTCGTTCATCATTACAACCTAGTTCTTGAAATTTTTCGTCATGAACAACATGATTGTAAAATGGTTCTCAGGTTCTCAGGACAACTCTCCACTGATTCGTAAGGAAGGACATGTTTCACATTATCTGCATAAGAACTATTTCTCAAGATGCGATCGATCCTTCCAAGTGATGAAGGGTTTCGTAAAGGAATCTATTCGGCTCTTGCTTCAGGAAGCTCTTCCACTGAAAGGGAACCAGAACCACGAGGACTGCAACTCATATTTGGAGGGCAAGAATGATCTAAGTCCATTGACCGCACTGGAAAAGAAGAAGGTGGATCAATCCTTTGCGAATTAACCTTGATAGGAAGGAGAATGATGAATATCCACATATCTCGGCTTGTTTCGAAGAGATTTCAGTTCCGCACTGAAATTAGGGCAATGCATGATCTCATCAAAATTATTTGAAGGAGGAATAGTTTCAAATACCGAAGCAGCATTACCATGTTGAATAGCAATACTAATTCTTTCTATCAAAAAACAGGTAGAACGGTGATCTTTCGTTGATTGGCTCATTCTCCTTCCGAGTTCTTGAACGAATAACAGAGACTCCGGGCCATAAACAACGAAAGTTTCAACCATTACTGGATGGAACAAATAGTAATTACCAAGATTATGGTATTTTTTTCGTTTCAATTTTTCGCCAGACAATGCTGCGGTTCCAGCAGACTTCGAACTTCCGGCTATATGGGAAGCCGCGAAGTCCCATACCACAGATTTACCGTATTTCCATGGTATGAGAGACAAACCATCTGGTCGTTTACCATCATCTCGACTGGTACCTAAGGGTTTCAGAACTGCAGGAACATCCGCTGACAACATAGCTCGTTTCAATATGTCGTTCACTTGGTGATGCCGAGATGTACGCCATGCACTTCGCCTGCAACTCAAACCATATGTACCTTTCTAATCAACTATACTACCGCAAACACAAGTATTAGGCCCAAAATTCGCATTGAATTTATTTTGCCACCTCAGTTTTCGATGTTTCAATATAAGCATTATTTATGAATATTATAATTTCGTTTGTCATGTTTTTTCATGTAGTTTATCATCTGTCAAATTGCTTTGGATTCATTACGGTTACCGTCTACCACGGATGCTGGTGAATGCAAAAAGATAAGTTTTTTATTTTGTTTGGAATTATTCACATATGCATTGTAAAATTATTCTATCGATTGTCCATAGTTTCATTTTAATTTCACATGTACTTCATTGTTATTATTGTGAAAGGTTACAGAATTTATGACATTTTATCTTTGCAATATTGAAATAACCTGGATTATACAAAAATAATATTTGAATGACTGGAGACCCAAATGTCACATTCAACTCAATAGGTCAGATAACCGAATGGAAATTATAAACTCATAGACAAAAATATCAAGTATTTTATTTTTATTGTTGGATCCCTTACAGAGAGAGGGTTTTACAATCCGTAGGGAAATGTCTGATATCGGTTATGAAATATAAGTGGAAACGGTTATATTATTGACAATATAAAAGTAGTTTCAGACAAGATAACAACAATTTCAATAGTGTACTTCAACGCAAGGCCGTTGCTATTCATTGTTCTGACTTAAATTAAACTAAATTATACCTGAAACCCTCCAGTACAAGGTTCCTAGCAACGAAAAATCGAAAATCAACTCAAAAACATTATTTCAAGTAAAAAATGCAATGTGAGTGTAGAAAGTATTGACTGACCCAAGGTAATTAACCTTGGGAGAGGTGCATATCAAAAGTGGGTGAACCTTCAGTGAAAATCATGTTTTTGATTTTCGGTGTTTGGTTTGAAACATCAAGATCAAAACTGAAACGTCATAAAACGTTGAACAAATAAGTTGGTACACAAAAGATTTTAATAATATTTTATTCTTGATGTGCAACTTGTATATAGCCTGGTATTTGGGATACAAACTGCTTGTCCTCTGATATTGTAGGATATCCACTCATTCCACATTTTTTGTATCAAGATGGAGAAGTAGAAAGCCAAAAACCTTTCTTCTCAAAAAATTTGAATTCGTTGTCATTTTCCTTTTGTCGCATCTCCTCAATTGATTATAATGAAATTATTTAGTTGGTCAGTATTATGATACGTGCACAGATAAAAACTCATTAATTCAGCCTATCGTATCATCAAGTGATTAAGTAATATATCATACCAATCCGAATGCCTTGAGTTGATTTGTTGTGTTAATAAAATAAATGTTGTCAGTTAAGATATGGGGCAATAATCACGATTCAAATATCATAATACTTGTATATATTCCTCCATACACGTCTGTTGATGAATATGATGAATTTTTCGAGTGCTTAGAGAACATTCACGATCTTAGCAATACAATAATTTTAGGTGACTTCATTATTCCAGATGATTTTGGTACATATTGGTACATATTAGTAAATAACACAAATAAATTCTTTTTCCATTTCAGTTCAGGAACCCAAATCCATAAAATGTTCATTCAAACTTTTTATGCATTTCAAGTTTACGCTTTGGGCTCCTTGAAATCAAAATGGCACTCACTACCATCATGAAGAACTTCAAATTGACTTTGAATGAAAAAAGCAAAATTCCCATAAAATACGCTACCAATGTAATCATCACATCGGTTGATGGCGATGTTTGGCTCAATCTGGAGAAAATGGAATAAACTTGTCTAGTTCACTTATGGACTCATTTTTCATGAATATTCATTATTATAATTTAGGAATTGGATAAATTATAAATTTGCTTAAGAAAGGTTGAGGGCTAACTGATCACGTCTTGATAATGCCATCATACCACCTTGTTCNACCCGGACAAATCTATAATATTTTATTGTAATTGATATTTTAACAGCCGAATATTGAAGTTTTAAGAAACGAAATCAAATGCTTTAATGATTGAAGAAAATTGATTTTCGTAATATTTTTTGTTATGAGTTTCATTTATTGTTATGACTTCGTAATTTGTTGTTTGTGAGTTATTTAGCAGAAAAAAGCGATAAACCTAAAGGTTAAAAGTCGTGGCACACTTGTTCGTGATAATAATATCACTTAGAATAGAAGCTGTGATTACTTGGTGTTTGTTTTTCATATAACATTAAACATTGGCGTTATCTCTCACTTCTTCAACGGAGTTCAATACCCAACTAGTATATTTAGTTTTATGAGCTTTCGTAAGTGTTTTCACAGTTATTGCGGAGCCGAATCGTTTCTAATTCAAGTTAGTCAATCTGTCAGGGTAAGTCAAATTAAGGTATAGAAATGTATTGCGGAAAGAATAATTTTAGAATTTCTCATCGTGATTGGGACTGGAATCAGAGTTATGATTATAAAAAAAAACATTCACTACATAGTATAAAACAAAGTCGCTTTCCGCGACTTTGTTTTATACTATGTGACTTATTCAACAGCTACCTGAAAGACCGTAAACAATATGTAAAAATAAATACAGAAAAAAGCCTTGAAAAAATTGTTGACTACGGAGTTCCACATGGAACGGTCTTGGGTCCAGTTTTATTCTCCATATATATTAACAATTCGTTCACTTTAAACTCATGTGGAAGAATAATAAGTTTTGTTGATGACACCCCTATCATATATCATGGGGAAAACTGGATCGAACTGAAACAAATAGTTGAAAATGACCTCAAGAAAATAGTAACGAGATTTGATCATAAATTGCTGACGGTAAACTACAAGAAAACTACTTTTATATCTTTCGCCAATAGCAGGAGTGGTTTGCCAAATTTTGATAATCTAGTCATCAAAGATAACACAGGGGAAACAAGCCAGATAATGCGTGTTGAGAAAACAAAATACCTAGGTTTAACTATAGATCAATGTCGTAGGTATTGCTCCTAGGTATAAATAATAAATGGGAGAAAAACTGATTTAATATTCCTTTCTTTTTTTCTTTATAGAGATACATTCATTGTAATTTTTGAATAGAAACACTATGTATGTGTGTGTATGTATATGTATATGTATACATATATATTCATATGTATAGATAAAACAAACTTTAGTTATATTAATGTATTACTTAAGTTTTCGGTATATAGGGATCATAACATGGAATACTAGATAAATGAAACCCCACACGCAATATATGATTTTTGTGGGTAATTAGTTTATTTTACAACAACATTGTATGTAACTTTTGTAATATGTATTTGTATATTTTTTCAGTGTAAATAAACGTTATTATTATTATATTATATTACATGAATATAATATTTTTCAATAGCACACATTAAAGTAACTTTTTATTAACTCACTTCATGCCGAGAGTAGATGATGTTTATGTTTTAACCGATAATACATTGGGTTGTTTCAGATGTTTTGTCCATTTTCATGAGTTTACTTCAAACTGTAATATCTCAGTAAATATTTATTCATTTTGATCGAAATGAGCGCCATTTGAACCAGTACACTTTTGCAAACGTAACACGAGTCGAATAATTCCATCAGAATAAAAATTGTGTGCTCGGAATTCAGTGAAGTTGACAAATGCCGTTCCTGCCTGGTCCTCATTGGCATAGGTGCTACCAGTGAGAAAGTTATCGAAATTCTTTAAAATATGGTTGTCAGCCGGCGAGAGATCTGGGTATTATGGTGGATGAGGCAGAACTTCAATGCTCAATTTGTTCAATTCTGGAACGGTAATTTGTGAAACGTGCGGACGGACATTATCGTAGAGGAGGATTCTACCAATTTTTGGTAGATTTCGTCGATTTCCTCACAATATGACTCTGCTGTGATGATTTGGCCCGGTTGCAGAAAGTTATAGTGAATCACACCAGCCGCAGATCACCATACAGTAACCATGATCAATTTTTGGTAGATTTTTCTCTTTGGGAAGTACCTGGGTGGATCATCAATGTCCAACTACTGTTCTGAACGTCTTCAGCTGTCGTAGAGGATCTATTTTTCATCAGACGTGATGATCCGATCCAAAAAAGAACTCGAAACAAGGAGAACCTATCCTTCGAGTTTCTTGGCCTTTCGAATACATTTCAAAACATCAAAAACCGCATGCTAGCTGACACTTAGTTCTTTGAAACCCCACGAACTTTGGGATGTGTCAATTTCCACCAGGGTCTTCAAATCCCGTCTTGGATTAGGCTCATCTTCGAGGTAAACCAAAAAGTGCGTCCATTAACACTATCATTTCCAAATGCCTATCATTTGGAAATAATAGTGTTGATGAATTCGTAGAGAATAATCATTTATCGACATCTCAAATATGTATGGAACAGAATAGCTTCCATTTCGCTAACTGTTTGTTAAAATACCACGAGTTTACGAAATGGATAATTATTGCGTGACTGTTCTCTTCATGGGCAGATTTGAAATGGAAGCAAATGAAGATTTAAATTACTTCCCATAGACTTGTATCCAATACGTAAATGCCATTTTCGACAAGAATAGGGGGAACAGCAGATTCCCAAATATTTCATCCACATAATATCTGGATGTTCTCCATTATTTTTTTCTCCAGACGCTAATTTTCAAACAGACTTGGCCACTATCATGAATATTCTAATGAAAAATCTATACTCATGAATGCGAAAGTCACTCACTTAAAACTCATTCATCTTTGTTTCTCCATACTGGAAAGTCCTAGGATGCTAAAATTTGGTATATATGTGCTTCTTAGTTATTTTACCCCCTAGGGGTAAAAGGGTACCTTTACATATGGAAAATACCTTTTCATCACTGTTTCCGTACCGCTCTATTTTTTGGGAGGCTGAAATTTTGTATGTAGGTTCGTTCAATGTTGTAGACATGCCATGGAAAAATATTTTTGAATATTCCAACTGGGACGCCAGCCACGGGGTAAAAAAGCACGTTCATTTGCGACGCACATATTCCTATTCTCTTGCGCAGGATTCGAAACCTATTCATCACTGTTTCTCCTTCCCGGTATATTTTCGGAGGCTGACATTCTGTATCTAGGTTCGTTTTTTATTGTAGATGTGCAATAAAAAATTATTTTTGAAAATTCCAAGTGGGCCGACAGCCGCGTTCATAAAATTAAGTTACCTTTTCATGACTGTTTCTCCATACTATATTTCAACTGGGGCGTCATCTTAAAAATCCTGCACCAATTTGAATATGTTGAAAACCAAGAAGAAATATGTTGAATAAAATGATGTCACTTGATATTTCAGGAACTCAACATGTTCGACCTATCGCCGTCCACTTTATTTCTTCTAGGAATTTTCATATGTTTATCTGGATACCTCTTGTGGTTCTTTTATGAGCATCATCAATATTGGAAAAGAAGAAACGTACCCTATTTAACACCTACCATTCCATTTGGAAACACCTTAGACCTCTTCCGCGGAAAGATAAGCTTCGGAGAGGTTTTTTCCAGAGCCTACTTGGAGTTGAAGAAACAAGGTCACAAACACGGAGGAATATACTACCTACAGAAACCAGTTTACATACCAGTCGATGCAAACATAATAAAAAAAATCATAATCAGCGACGCTGATAACTTTCCTAATCATGGTATGTACGTCAATCCCGCTGATGACCCTTTGTCTGGTCATCTTTTCAACATCGAAGATGGAAGATGGAGAACACTGCGCTCCAAAATGCCTTCTTCGTTCACTTCCGCCAAAATGAAAAAAATGTTTGAGATAATGACGAGGATGGTCGATCCTTACAAGAAACTACTAGATATCTATGCTGAAAACGGCAGTGCTTTGGAAATCAAGAGCTTAGCAAGTCGCTTCACTACAGACATAATTTCAGCTTGTGCTCTTGGAATTGAAACCAACACCCTAAACTTCGAAAATGAAGACCTGCTACGACACGGCAGAACTTTTTTTGACTATCAGTGGAACAAATACAAGAACAGCATGGTCGTCGCTGTTCCCCGTCACATACTAGAAAAGCTCAGCTTCAGGATTTTCAGTAAAGAAACAGAAAAATACGTTCTGAAAATGTTCAAGGATATTCTCAGATACAGAAAGTTTGACAGTCCCTTGAGAGAGGATCTCACCGCGTCTGTAGTCAAACTTACTGAATGGAGAGAGGAAGAAAAAGACTTTTCAGGAAAGAAGGTCATGGTCCCATTGGAAGAATCGGAATTTGCGGCGCACATGTTCCTTTTTTTTTGCGCAGGATTCGAAACATCTTCCAGTACTCAGACATTCGCTTTGTTCGAACTAGCCAGAAATCCAGAATGTCAGAACAAGTTGAGGAAGGAAATTAATACAGTAATGGCAAAACATGGCAATGAGGTTACTTACGATGCTATTATGGAGATGGAGTACTTGGATAATATAGTTGATGGTAAGTCTGTAAATACGTTAAAAATCCAAATTATATAACAGAATTTTTTGATATTTCCTAATAATTTACTGAAAATCATCTTCCTAAAAACTACGTTCTGGACAATTTATTATTTTTGCAATCATCATGAAAACATATTTTTCTCATTTTCTAAAAATAAATTACTGAAAAAGTAATTTATGCGGTTTCACATATATCTTGGGATAATTATAATTTGATTCCAAATTCCTTAGACATCATCCTGAACTGGAGAGTTTGTTGTGAATCTTGGATTTTTCTTCCAAAATTTACTGTGAGAAACTATAATTATAGCAATATAAATAGACTCTCGTATAAAATATGATGTTTGCATTTGTGGTTTGTTCTCCAACTTCGGAGATATGTTCATAGCTCAATAACAAATTATCTGAAAAATGTTCAAGTATCCAAGAACATTCAACTGAGGAAATACTATGACTTTTACTCCAAGAAGAAAGGCGAATTTCATGTTTTCTCTACATTTTCAATAAATTGTGAATCTTGGGTTTTTCTTAAGTCACAGAAATTTATGGTGAGAATCTTTATCACCATATCAAATAGACACCCGTATAGAATAGGATGTTTGCATTTGTGGTTTGTCCTCCAACTCGGGAGATTTGTTCAAAACTCAATAACAAATTATCTAAAAAATGTTCAACTATTCAAGAACATTCAACTTACGAAATATCATAACTTTAACTCCAAGAAGAAAGATGAATTTCATATGTTTCCTTTACATTTTCTATAAATTACCTTCAAAAACAAAATAGTTTTTGTCGATAGCACTCCTCAAGTAAAATTTGAGGACATTTTCGACTCGTCGAAGTTATTATTATAGTTATATTAGTTCTATATTATAGCCTCTTGCAAAATTTTATTTTATCTCTCTCATTTCGTTACTATATAATATCTTCATCAACTCTAGTAATGAGAAAAAATAACAAAGACAAGTTGTGCTTTTGAGGTGAACATTTGATTATTTATAATTTTTTCACAAGATGCAACTGAGCCTGTTTAACTTCCAGAAACTTTGAGGATGTACCCAGTCTTTCCAATACTTCCAAGAATCTGCAAAGAAGACTATCCAATTCCAGGAACAGATCTGATCCTGGAGAAAAATACTTTCGTCATGGTAACCAACTTGGGAATTCAAAGAGATCCAGAATACTATCCAAACCCGGAACAATTCAATCCTGAGAGATTCAATAGAGAAAATAAGGGAATCATTCCACATATCGCAAATATACCTTTTGGTGAAGGACCCAGAATTTGCGTGGGTGAGTATGAATACGCTAAATCTTAAAATTAATTGAAATGTCCCTACCTCTATATGTGTCTTCCGGTTGATATTCTTGCTGAGAATTTCTTACCTGGAACAAAAAATAATGTTAGATGCAAGTAATTAATATATAAACCAATCAATAACTGATGTTAAACATTTTCCAGAATGATGAACTTTCTAAGTTGGGAAAATATAATTTATCGCTAATGAAGATCAGGAAAATTTAACATTAGAAAACCAAATGGATTATAGTGAAAAAAACACGAAATAAAACACTTTTCCTCAACCAGATTTCAAATATCCAGTAGAAAACCAGAGATTGAAGAACTTAGTGAAATTATAGTCAGATGCATTTAGATTAGTTTCAAACTTGTTCAAAAGTATGGAGATTTCCTATTCGATCCAGGTTTAAACTCTCCACATTTTTTCCAATCGATAAAATCTTCGATAAATAATCACTGGTCTTCAATTTTTTATAGCCAAGGGTTGTTTATTTCCATCATACAGATATACCTTGTTTCCAATTTTTGGAAATTGGCAACAAGGTCCCCTATTTCTTCTGCAGTAATACAAACCTTACAGTTGTACTTGTAAGAGGAAACAGACTTTTCAGACAGACAGATTCAGGAATTTTTTTTAGCTAAAAATCATCATGAATAATATACGATGGTGGGTGCAGAAAAAGGAGAAATATACATTTTGCATTTCGGACAATTACCAATCTCAACCTAGACAACATATGAAAAATTAGGAACTATTGGAACTCTTGTAAGTGAAACCCCTCTTTAGGTCTCTACTCATTGGACTAAACGGCATTGGAAGCTAATTGGAAGGGAAATGAAAGAACTACGTTTTCGTCAGATGTTTTGACGATATTTTTAATGTGCTCATCGGCGGTAATCATCAGAGAGTAGTAGTAATACCAGACTGTTTCAGCGGCATTGAATTCATTAAGACTAAAGTATCCTTACTATGAGTTTTGTACAGGTTCTAGTCGATACACTCTACACACTGATTGGTCCAACTGAAAATGATCCGAAAGAAATGTTACCAAATTTTGATCCTGAATAAGTTTTCAATTATCAACCAATTGATACACATTATTTCCAACAATATTTCACTATCACAAACTAATTCATTTACAACAATTTATTTCCACTATTTGAATTCCTTGTTTAACCGCTCGATTCACTTTCTGAACTCAACTGCACTCTTGGAACGAGAAGCCGGCCTTATATATTGGTATCGATCGTTCTAGCACGTTGACTGCCGTGAGGTACCACGTATGTGCCCTCCATAAATATTAGGTTGGTGCTCTGAGGCACATTATTTGTACCTCGCAGACTAATATCGTTTTACGGACTGAGGTACGGAGTGTGGCTCACAAATACGGTAACCGGGCAAATACAGCTGTAATCTATGAAATAAAGAATATTGAAATCAGGACAAAACCAAATATGGCCGGGTGGTCTTGTATTTTTCATTCGTATTGTGGCAGTCAACGTGCTAGAATTCTATAGTCGTTTCGGTACTCAACTAGAGTTTAATCGGCGGTTGCCGAGTGCATTCTTTTTGCGGTGATGTCATGTGTTTATTCGCTGGCCGACATATCGGTCAGGGGCTGCTTCACATTCGTTACAATACGAAGAAAAACAATCCTAGCTTTTGGCTGACACTCCAAACTATCCTGCATGTTTGATTGACTTTTTCAAAATAAAAACTCCTACTGATAATGAGACACAATTGTGAAGTTATTTTGATAAACTTGGCCGATTAAAATCCATAATGTACTCAATTGAAACTTCATTGTGAGATTTCCACTGAGCACCGTGTTGCATAGCGAAATAAGTGTTGCGGTTTTGTAAACCAGTCAGTGAAATCCTCATAATGAAGTATTCGTTACTTGAATATGAGAAGTTATTAACCACTATACTTTTTCATATTTATATTCACATATTTGAAACTTATCAGATAACTTATCGATTATATACCCCTCAAATATATGAAAAAAAAAATTATTTTCCATTTTTCTTGAACTGAAACCCAACTTTTCAATTTTCAACTTAAAGTGATTTCTTTTCATAAAAAACCTCTTTATTACAAAGTGATACACCATTGAATTAGTAGCAAAATACCTATTTTCTGTTTGATGTTTTCTAGTCACTTTCTGAAAATACATCGCAAAAATATTTCCTTTTTGTTTAAAGTTGCAGAAACAATCATTCAACCTTGGTCATCTATTGGTCGATCGGTAGCCGGCCGGTTCGACATGGGTGCTTTGTTCACTCAATCAATCAACCGCCTTGTTAGTCGGTGGTTCAAGCCGCAGGCTGAACGATCGATTTTTACTTCCTATCGTTCAACCAGTGTTAAGAATCACACGTTGAAATGTAAGACCTCGTTAGTCCTCTGCTCGCACAAGTTTAGACTTCTGAGGGTTGTCGTTCGTAGTGGTCCGACAGCTGGTTAAGGGAGAAACATATTTTAAACACATATATTTTGAACAAATCTAATGAAACAAGTCTACGGGTGTTATATGATGAAAATATGTTGAGAAAATATCTTGAAATTATTACTATGACGTTCATTTTTTTCAGGAAAAAGATTCGGTCTGTGGCAAACCAAATTGGGCCTAGTGACAACAATACGAAACTACGAAGTAACACTTAACGAAAAAACTACCAAAGATTTCAAGTTCGCTTCGGATGAGTTGATTCTTAGAAAAGAAGGAGATGTTTGGCTCAATTTGAAAAAAATCACCTAACTGAAGCAATGAATCATCGATAATATCCAGTGTAAATTGTTTGTTCTTAACATTTGGGAATTTCAAACCAAGTAAATGAAGCATTAGCGATTGTGATATTTCTATGATTGAATATTTTCTGTGTCTATTATTATATCTATCTATTATATCATTATATAAGGGCATACCAAAAAGTACATATTAGAACCGCTTCGAGGATTAGAAAAAACGCTGAAAATATATGAGGAGGACTACTTTATTGGATAAATATTTTCTGAGGAAGATGAAAATTCACCTTAATTTTTGAACAGACAGCGTATATTAATTGAGCAACAAACTAAATGGCGTCTGTTAAGACATCAAAATTCATGACCTTTGACTTCTCCGAGTCGACTCTGAAGAATTCATCGAAGTTTTTCTAACTAATCATCATATCATATATCAACCTCAAGTTATTTGAATATCACATCATATATTTCATTAGTTCGGATTTCCATTGTCTAATATGATATAAATTTTGGAAAAAAATTAAAAAGATTAGCTGAAAAATAACAGTTATACTGAATCACAATTACAATGAAATAAAATACAAGCAACAACCAAAAAATAAAAAATAGAAATATCAACACGAGATGAAAATAAAAAAAAATATTAGCAACAGATTAAAATTAGAAAAATTCCAAGTCAAGTTACTTCACGACGTTTATAGGTCATTTGAGTGCTCTCACCGATCCCCACTTTCCTCTCTCCGCTCCATCGGTTTGGCGGGAGTTGGTCGTGTTCCGCTTGATTAGAGGTTTCCATATGTTGCGTATCTCTACGCTAGCTTGGCTAAATGCGTTGTTTCCCACTAGTGCCACAAACATTTTTTGAAATATAATGAGAGACGGTAGGTTTACGATTACAACACTTCTTCCTGTGCAGTATATAATCATTCACCGTCACATTTGGTTACTATTAGCCATTTACAGAGTTTAATCTAGTAGTACTGTGAAAGCAAGAATAGTGGAGCGGTAGACTGCAATTTTTTCAACTTACCATATCAAAACAACAAATTGAGACATACCGCTAAGTGGGCAGTACTATAAATCAAAAGATCCGCAAGACTTCTTCGGGTTGGATATTCTTTCTTTTATCAAAATCAAAAGCAGAAACTTGTTTTTCATTCACTTTTATTTTTATAGGATGCCCTTCAACACCTCCATTTCATACTAGGCCGCTGGTAGAAAATTAATTACCCCATAAATAAAAGGGATTAATTCCTTTCCATTCACGCATGCAGGTGCACTCCACGGCTGTCTACCGATGAAAAGAACTTAGATGTGGTAAGCAGAGCCCGGCTCGATATAAATCGTGTTTTTGTACTGTTTTTCCAATCGGATCGCACTTTCCATTCTAGATAAGGGCGGCGGTTTCCCGGCCAGCCGCACGTGACCATTGTTTGAACGCTTTTTCTGATGAATTCGTGGAGTTTATAAATGAATGTGCGGTTTTTCATTCAGTACGATATTTTTTTCTCTTTTCGGTCTGTCGAGTACGGAATGTATTTTATTTCGATTGCGGTGGACGATGATATTGCAAAAACAAAGAAAACACAAAAAAATTAAATCTCACAAATTGTATGAATGATTATTCATTCTACTACTCGGCCATTGTTTTTAATGATTCGTTGAAATATTAGTGCATCACTTAACATAAACACCTTCTGGAAAATGATGAAATAATGATGAAGGATTTTATCAATCTCTATCCAAAACAAAAAGAAACACTGAAAAAATGGAAGATCTCATATTTGGAGTCCGAAAATTTTACTTCTTATTCTTATTCGTGGTGCAGTTCATCAAATGAATCACTACTTTCGCACAGGCACCGATCTTAGAGCGCTTCGAGAATTTTCCAGTAGTGCTTACGTTGTCCTTAAAAAAAGGAAAGGCTCAATTTCAGAATATCCGAATACTTTGTTTCTTTTTTCGCCTTTCTATTTTTATTTTAACGCAGCGATCATCGGCCCTTTGTGAAACTGATATAAATAGTACTCTTTTTCGTGGGAGCCATCTTCTGGTGATGTCTAGTTGAAAAAACCAGACATCACCAGAAGATGGCAAATGAGACTTTGCCAAAACGTTGTGAAAATAATCCTTATGGGGAGAAAATACACAGAACACGGAACGAAACCCGAGAAAACAGCTCATCATACTTGAAATATTACATTTTCACAATGACAGGTTGTTTATCGAAGGTTGTTTATCGAAGACAACAACGATAAAAATAAAAACAACAATGAAAATTAATTGGCGCTCCGGGGCGACTTCATCGATTCCAGTGGACGCATTTGCTTTCTCAGCTGCAGAAAAACCCGGAAAAACCTGCAGCACCACATCATCTGAAGATCTTGATCTACCAATGTCCTCTTTCTCATAAAACAAAATGTAGGGTGTCCCCAGAGGCTCCAATAGATTCAATACATCGCTAGAACACTTCGTGACACAACTATCGTCAAACTTAAACCAGTCCGTTTCGTCTTTGACCAATGCGTAATAATGGCTAGATTCAACGCCAGGACCACAGTGAACAATGACTGCATGAATATTATAATAACCTTCCTAAAAGTTCGGTGCTTCCGTCAGAGGTTGAGTCTTGTTTGAAGATTAGATTGACTGGTGTCTCAGCTGTACTTGTTTCCTTATAACAGTCAGTTAGTTTGGCACATGTTTGGCAATAAAGTTGATCATCACCTGTTAAAAATTCCATTTTCAGATGATTCATCAATAAGCTTTGGACGGACTGGTTATTAGTCATATTAGGAAAAGCTAGATGAAGTTACAGAAATTCACATAAGTTTTTGCTACCTCTTGAACATTTACTACAAAGTAAACGAGTGAGGATTTTTCCAGCAAAAGATTTACAAACACAAGACGAGATGGATGTATGGAATCATTCAATCCAGAGCGGTCAGGAGTATTGATTTTGCTCACGAAGAGTATTCAACAAAAACCCCAAGAATTCGGAACAATCCTTTCGTTGTCCTCAATCATAAAATAAATAGTATTGAAATATAAATCAATCAATTTTTAATAGTCAAATTAGATGGAGAAAGTGTAATTAGATCCAAACTAAAACTTTCACAAATGAATCAACAGTCGAACAGACCGAATGAAACCGGGGTATATAGAAAATATCCTATATATTTGTGTACTAATTCTGCTGTAAGATGTTATTTTTAAATTTTCCAATTATTTGGTGAATCGCTCTCCGGTGGTTCCTACCTGTTTTGTCAGAATTATTTATTTATCTAATTGAGTTTTGTCATGAAACGCCAATATTGTACCTGTTTCACAGTCTTTGAGCCTAGTAAGTCTAGTAAAAATTCAGTAGTTTGTTTACTTCTTGATCATGTTATTAAAATCACGAAATCAAAATTTATAATTATAACATTATTATTACATCGTAGAATATAACAAAAGAACTCGCACTTGGTTCAAATACGTATTTCTAAAATAGGTTCATAAAAAGCGGGACCCTTTCCCATAAACAGATGTTGACGGAAAACAGTATCAAAAGTATAAATTTGAAAAGCTTCTTGTCTATCTACTCCTCCATCATTGAAAAAATAATAACGTGGGAAGTTCCAAAGAAAAAATTAAGGTTCCCGCATTTTTTATTCGATAATGAAGAAGTAGAAAGACAAAACGCTTTTTCCCAAGTAACGAAAGTATCATAAAGGATTGTTCTGATTGATCCCAATAATAATAAATGTAACATAAGAGAAAATATTAATATTCTCAACGTAAACTGAAATTAAAGTCTCAAAAAGAAACGCTAATAGATATACCAGAACTATCCGAGGAAACAAAACCTCAGTAACCCAACAATCCGAACTCTCGGTAAACGGAAAATGTCCTTCAAACATTTGTTCCGGACATTTCTGACGTCCTGCCAAGACCCGAAATAATATGTTTAGAGGTCGTGAACACATAGTGAGAACAGCGTGTCGTAAAGTTGGCTCGGCATGCGGTCAGGGAAGATTCGAGTCGACCCAGAGGGGCAGTTGCCAGCCCTGGATGTCAATCAACCGAGATCCGCATTCACCGAATTCTGGTATGAGGGGGTTTTACCGACCCGCATGGAGTTTCTATAATGTTTCTTGTCATTGTGTCATTCAATGGGCACGTGTTTTGGGGATGGACGGATTGATGGCGTTGATGGGGAGTTGTGACGAATAATGATGGCGATCCGGGTAAAGCAATCAGAGAGATAACAAGTGAAAATAGTATAAGAGTGTTAGAAGTGTGAACTCCCGTTGTGTGAAAATATTAACAGATTTATCTTACACCTGAAAATGAAGAGATTATTGAAGCCCGAAAACTATTTGTATGAAAAAAAGGTAGAGGTCGAAGTGATTCAGAAGGCACGAAAATCGATAATGTAAAATTCATAAAAGTCTCATCACAGCAGAGTGATGAGATGAGTGTCATCACAGCAGAGTGATGAGATGAGTGACAGCAGAGTGATGATTACAGCAGAGTGATGAGAATTTCTTTTTCAGCTTCATAAGCACCTCCTTCAACATTTTATGAGTGAATTCAGTAACCGTTTCATACATCCTCTATATTCCATATCATTCGCATTTTAGTATTACTGACTTTCTCTTTCCTAGTTTTTCCTGGCTCCCGGCCACTCATTTGCAGATCATCTCGAAAGGGCAAGCGAACGCTGAATGATATGATAACGAATTCAAATAGACGAAACGGAATCAAGCAAACAGAAACAAAAAAAAAGAAACATCCGACATTCTCCGTATACATTCAATAATTCATAACTCCCGGGTAGAAACAAATCCCTATCGCATTTTCCGTAATTTCCTCTTGAAACATTCCTTTCAGTGTTCGAGCAGTTTCCTTTGAAGTTCATAATCGACTAGGCTTTCATCTGATGAAAAGGGAGAATTAGCTGGTATGTATTTCTCATCGAACATTCGGCGTGCTGGGCTTTTATCCAGAGGCGGGGAGGAGAAAGAAGGTGTTTCGGGAGACCATCGAATCCTTCAATTCGATTTTAGTGAATCAGGACTTGTGGGTATTGATAGTGACGTTTCAATATTGAACAAACATGTTGTTAAAGTGTACCCAGAAG